GTGTAGCTCTCTGGCAACTCTTTCTCAGTCTCCCTGACCTTGACTCTTACCAACCCCTTTTAATGCTAGGAGATCCTCTGCCCATTACCTCCCCCCTCTGCCCCTCTCCCTTGGTGATCTCGGACACTCCCACTGCTTCACGTACCATCTGCTTCTCAAGGATTCCCTCATCTGTACAACCAGACCACTCTTCTGGGTGCTCGACCCCTAGATCCAAATACCTATGATATGGTGCCATAAACAACCCCTCACATTCCACATGCCCCATATTGAATTCATCTTCTCTCCCTCGGCCCTGTGTCCCCTAGGGCCCCCAGGCCCCCTTTCAGGGACTCATCCCAGACTCCTCTCTCACCCTTAACTCCTAAATTCATTCTACACGCTGGGGGTCCACTTCCTAAACTTTCTGATCGTGCCCCCTAACCCCTCCATCTTCACCGACACCACCTCAGATCCTCATCATCTCTGCCCCAAGATCCACTGCAGGTCTGGCCAACTTGGCAGCACAAATGTCCTCCAAGTGGCAACTCTGCCATCTTGTAGCCACTGGAACACATAGGCTCCTTGGTGGCTGCTGCAGGGGAGGTGAGCACTGGAAGACCTCACCCCAACAAATGCTTTAGCCCCAGACTGACACCCACGTCACTAAGGCTCACAGCCCATTGGTCAGAACTAGTCATGTAGCCTCATCTAACTTTTTCTTTCTTTTTTTTAAATTGAAGTATAGTTAATTTACAATGTTGTGTTAATTTCTTCTGTACAGCAAGGTGATTCAGTTATACGTCTATGTACTCTTCTTTTATATTCTTTTCCATTATGGGTAGTCATAGGATACTGAATATAGTTCTCTGTGCTATACAGGAGGACCTTGTTGTTTATCCATTCCATATACAATAGCTTACAGCCGCTAACCCCGACCTCCCAGTCCATCCCTCCCCAAACCCCTCCCCCTTGGCAACCCCAAGTCTGTTAGCCCCATCTAACTTCAGGGGGTGCTGAGGGAGGGTGAACCTTCTGGGCCATAGCCTGGAAGGAGAGGGCCATTGGGCATAGGTGAGCACTAGAAACCTCTACCAACCGTCTTCCTCCTCTGCTCTGCCTTCTCCTTAGCCCTTCTCATCATCTGACATAGTGTGTATTTGCCCATTTATGGATTTTTGTCCTGCTTCCCCCGCTCCTGCTAAAGAGTGTAAGCACTCTGAGGGCAGATCATGTGTTTGGTTCATTGCTGTATTCCCAGTACCTAGAACAGGGGTTGGCACGTAGTAAGCACTCGATACATATTTGATGAATGTTACTAATAAAATGAATAAATAAAGGGCTAGATGGTGTGTGTGTATGGGGGCCAGCAGTGGGGGAGGGGAGTGATGTGAGAGGAATGTGAAAACTAAGAAGGGGTAATCTCACAAAAGGCATTATAAGCCAGATAAAGGAGCTTTTGCTTTATCCTGTAGAGTGTAGAGAGCCACGGGGTGGGGGGTGGTTTAAAAGGGGAGAGATGTTCTGGAAGATCACTTGGGATGCAGTTCGGAGGATGGGTTGGAAGGGGTCACGCAGGAGGCAGGGAGACCAGCTGGGAAACAACGGATGGTGGTTTAGATTAGATGGTGGGATTCCTGAAGGAGGAGAAACAAGGCTCTGAGGGCGTGAATGTGGGGCTTGAGAGGAGGAGAGGATGGCTTTAAAGGGTTTGGCTGGAGTTACTAAAAGGTTAGAAGGAGGGTGTTCTCTTTGTTCATCCTCAAGCCAGGAGGACTGAGGGGTGGAGGAGACCTGCGGGGAGGGTGGTAACAAGGAATTTGTTTGAGACACAAGAACTTTGATCTGGTCCACGTGCCGGGGCCTCGCTAAATGGCACGCAACTCCACACTTAGATGATTCATTTCCTCGCCACTGAAATTTTGCCCACCCTGTTTCCTGCCCTTGAAGAATGTTCCCTCCCTCTCTGTCAACCACTCCTAGCTCTGACCTCAGAGAATAAATCAGAAAGAGCCCTGAGAATATGGGCTCTCTGGCTGAGAGCTGCCACCTGCCCTGAGAGCACAGACCTGCTCCGCTGCGTTGAGGTCTCAGGGCAGAGGGGAGGTGTCAGCTGGGCCGCTTGCGGATCAGGATTGGTGGATGGACAGCCTCCATGCAAGGGCCAAGGCAGCCATCCTGTTCAAAGGCAGGCACGGCCGCCAGCTCTTGTCAGCATAGTTACTTCTCGGTGAAATGCACTTCTCCCCACTGTGGCTGCTGCCTCTCCCCCCTCCCTGGGTTCTGGTCCCCAGTCTTGGCCAAAAACAGTGCCCCTGTCAGTCCTGTTCTTGGCCTGGCCCTGCTCCTTGTGCTGACTTCCCTCCCACATGCCAGCCTTTTCCAAAGTTGTCCAGTATTGAAAGTGATCCCCCCGCGCCATCACTCAGGGCAAAAGACAGAAGCCCTTGTGCCGTCTCTCTCTCTCTCCTTGAGGGAAAGAGGTGGGTTTACTTAATCCAGTCCACAGGAAGTCCTCCCCAGCCACCTCTGGAAACAACGTACTAGGGACCAGTGTGGGACCACTGTTCAGCTACAGCCTGACTCCAGTGGTCTCTAGGCTGGTAATTTTCTGCATAGTTAGCTGCTCTCCTGCTCCCACCTGCTGCACTGGAGGTGATTGAATATCACCTCATGCATTAACCATGCACAGAAGAGGGCTGCCAGAGCTCCGTTACCCACCTGCCCACCTGTGGCCCCCATCCCTCCGTCACAGGCCATCTGGATTGACACCTTGATTGATTACAAGGGTTCCATCGTGTGTGGAGCAGCTGCAGCCTTACCTGGTGGGACAGGGAGGGCTGCGTTGTAGCCAGCCCGTCTGTCTATGCTGAGTGTCCCCTCCTGTGGGACCTGGGCACCTCTCTCTGACATATTCCTCAGAGCCCTTGTTTTGTAGGCGCCTGTCTCCTGCTAAGACAGCGTCTGCCAACCCACCATCTGCTCCACATCCTATAGAAGGGGCTTTGGCAAAAAGAGTCCGAATTCAGCAGTTTTGATAAACCCCCAGAGAAGATCACCCCTGTGCCATTTCCAAGAAATACCCACACCAACTTGTGAATTACAAAACCCAGCCACAAAATAAAGGGTTGGTAGTTTGCAGAGAAGTGGACACAGCCAGGAAAGAGAAGAGAGGTGCTGCTGATGAATGCCTCCTCTTTCCAAATACTGGTGGGTAAAGAAGAAATGGCCAGCCACTGGATTCAAAGCCTTTGGAGGAAGAAGGAAATAATGCAAGAGTTTGATTTTGGGTTGCAGTACAGAGCACTGTTGCTGTAAAAGCTCAGCAGGAGGGGAATGAGAGGAGGGAGGCTAATATTTGTTGAGTTCCCGGCACGTGTCAGACGTTGTGCGGGCAATTTCGTGGACGTTACCTCGCTGAGTCTTTACCACAGCAATGTGAGACAGGTATTTCTGCACTCATCCCTCAGGTGAGGCAGCAAGTTCAGAGAGTTGACACAGCCTGCCCACCGTCTCACAGCTCACATGGCAAAGCGGTGATTCAAGTCAAGCTGTCTCATGCTGAAGTTCATCCTCTCTCTGCTGTACCACGTGTTCTGCCCAGCACATTCCAGGAAAGTGGGAAACCAGAAAGGATCTTAACTCATATTAAAGCAAAATCAGAACAAGAAACTTGAGAGCAAGTGTCATTGAATAAAATTAGTTTGAATAATCTATATTTAAGGGTCCCATGAGGCATCCATCAAGAGGGAACAGTAATTGTGCTTTCAGATACCATCTGCCATTCTCTGAACATTTTGGCTCTGAGAATCTCTGTACCCCTCCCCTCCTTGCCCCCTGACCCCCTCATCAACTGAGTTGCCTACCTTCCACCAGTATGCTGAATGAAATGCCCAGCATGGCCTCACAATTGCTTTCAGAGCAGCTGTATGGCTGTCTTAGTCTGCTTGGGCTGCTGTCACAAAGCATCACAGATGGGGTAGCTTATGAACAACGGAAGTTTATTTCTCACAGTTCTGGAGGCTGGAGCATAAGATCAGAGTACAAGCATGGTTGGATTCTGGCGAGGACCCTCTTCTCATTGTATCCTCATATGGCAGAAAGAGGGCGAGAGAACTCTCTGGGATCTCTTTTATAAGGGCACTATTCCTATTCATGAGGGCTCCACCCTCATCACCTAATCACCTCCTGAAGGCCCCACCTCCTAATTACACTGAGGGTTAGGATTTCAACACAGAAATTTTGGGGGGACACAAGCATTCAGTCCATTGTAATGGTCATTGCTAATCTTAACCATAATAGTTGTAATTTTTCAAAACAGTGGAATTGAAAGTAAGGGTTTAAAACAGCTCTGGGCACAAGGTCCCCCAAACCATTTCCTGCTCACCCTTCCTACGTCCAAATTTTTGTAAGGAGGCCTGGGAATCTTAAAGTTGAGTGCTAAGGTCATGAGGCAAGGGGCCAGCGGCACTGTCTGGTAGAACTTGATGTGACACTGGAAATGTCCTTTATCTGCGCTGTCCAATATGGTGGCCACTAGCCACACATGGCTATTGAGAGCTGGAAATGTGGCTAGTGTGACTGAGGAAACGTACTTTCATTTAATTTTAATTAATTGAAATTTGAAACTTAAATAGCCACATGTGACTAGTGGCTCCCAGATTGGATGGTACAAGAGAGGAAACTAACCTCAAAGTTGGGAAAATTCTAGAACATAGGCCTTGTCTATAGGGGGCCAGCCTTGATCAGGTACCACTTTGGGAGGTTGCTAAGCAGCTCTGGGCATCTGAGACACAGAAGGATAATTCTAAAGGAAGGAGGATGGCTGAGGAGGGTATGAAGACAGCCTTGCCAGTTCAAGTTTGTCCAGAAACAGCCCTGTTCATTCACCATTTGGAATTTGACCAGGTAGATGTGGCTCCAGGGTGTGCAACTGAGCTCCAAGCTTTACACAAGCTCTGGGAGGCACACTGCTGTGCAGGAGGCCATGTGACTTGACACTGACTCTCCTTTGATTTCAGGCCCATTCTGTCCATGCCATTTGATTCCACAAGCTGGAAGAATTGCTGCTCGCTCTATTGTTTCCCTAGATCCCTGTAAGTACCTCCTGGAGAGTACCCACTCTGATTTCAGCCTTCTTTCTTTTCTCCTTCCTCCCTCCCTCCATCCCTTCCTTCCTTCCTTCCTTCCTTTCTTCGGTAAAAAAAATTTTTGATACAATGAAACAGAACTGATTGACAGGTCCTAAATTTTGCCCTGGGGGTCCCCTTATCCTAGCAGCTGCCTCTCTCAATTAACGTGTCTGTCACCTTTGCCTGGGGCTTGTGATTGCAATTCTAGAGGCCACTTTTTGTTTTTTTCTTAGACCCATATAGGCTGTGATCGGCAGAGCATCTCAGACATCACGTGTCCAGATCCCTTGTTATATATGAAAGGACAGATGCTCAGAGAGCGGGGAGACTCACCCCAGGCCTTTCCATGAACTTTTTGGTGGAAGAGGAGGGATTAGAAACTGTGCATGACATGCCACGGCCTCCTTATCCAGGAACCGCTCATCCTCCCTGCCTAGGATAAATCTTCGGTTTTGCCAGCTCCTTGTGTGCTTCCACTGTCTCTAGTTTCCTCCAAAAGGTATTCCTCTCCCTGTCTGCAGGGATGCAGCTCAAATCCTTAGAACTTCTAACACAGTATTCTCCCTTTATCCAACCTCCCAGGCTCCAGTGGAAGTTAGGCCACAGAAGAATCACTTTCCTCCACTGGGCTCTATTCAGAGCTCTCTTTCTCTCCAACACTGATAATCTAGGATAATCTGGGACAGCCTTCTCAAACTGTAATGTGCATACAAATCCCCCTGGGGTCTGGTTCAATCGCAAATGTAGACTTAGTAGGTCTGGCATGAGGCTTGAGACCCTGCATTGCTAACAAGATCCCAGGTGATGCTGAAGCTGCCGGTCCACGGACCGCACTTTGAGTAGCGAGGCCCTAGACTCATGTTTTGGTCCTGGAGGGCTAGAGCTGAAAAAGACTTCTTGTAGAAGTGCTCTCCAGAGAAACTTGTAAGATGGTGTAGGATGAGGCAGGGGAAGAAGCTAAGCACAGAGGTTGAACCCTAACCTCAGCCTGATCCCAAGGGCAGCTCTGGAACATAAGTGACCCCACAAAGTTTTTCTGCCCTGAGGCAAGGGAGCCAGGTTTTTACACGGAGTATCAGTCAGTCATTGACTGTGGGCTGCCCCTGGGAGAAGGACATAACCTCCCTGGATAACCTCCCAGGCGTTTTCAGGGTTGGCAGCTCCCATCTGGTCAAGGGCAAGTCTCCACAGAAGTACACAGCTGTGAGCCATCAGTATCAGACTCACAGCAGTGGGAGGTTGGGTCCTCCCACAGTATGGGGGAGCTGGGCTAACAGTCTACCACAGAGGCCTAAAGCTCTTCCAAGCCAAAGGCCCATCCCACTTAACTTTCATATTAGAGATTTTATCTTTGAAAGCTGTGTATATGTACATAGAAAAAGAGAACTAGAAATATATACACAAGCTGTTCAGAACAGCGATCTCAAGTCAACTTCCTTGTCTTTTTCTGCATCTTTCAAACTTGCTACAGTGAACATGCACTAATATAAAGCAGCAAAGTAAACCACTGATACCCCAGCTCAGGATCTTAGAAAACATTTTTATTTAATAACTATTTATTGAGTGCCGGTTATTCCCATTTACACTGCTGTGTGATCCTGATCAATGTTTATAATGGGATAGTAATGACAGGGCACAAGTCTGAAATGCAGTTTGTGGCAAAGAGAAATTATAGACTATTCAGTACAGTTTTAAGTTTGAAATTATTTATTTTTCCAATTCTCTGAAATTTGCTCATCTGCATAGCAAATGCCCTGTAACTGGAACAGCCTGTCCGTGAGGTTTAGCATTGCAAACTCTTGGCTCCCCTCAGGTCTTGGCCAAAGGGCAAACAGAACTCCGACCTCCCGACTCCTGCTGGTTCTCAAAGACCACACAGCCTGTCTGTGTGCCATGAGCTATTTTCGTTTCAACAGTCTTCCTCCCTTTTTTTGCGCTGCCTAATTAAGCAATCAAGTTAATTGAGATTAATGGCTGGCTATTTAATAGGGATTAATAACTTGCAAAAGCTCCCTTGGGTTTGGAACCCAGCTCAGAGCAGCAGAAATGCTCCTTGGGAAAGCTGGAGACGCAGCCCTCGGGCCTCTCTTCTCGCTTCTCCCTGCTCAGGCCTTCTGGAGGCAGCGGGATGCTGAGGGCAAGGAGGTGGGGAAGGAAAAGCTGCCATATTAGTCTGGACTTCAGTGCTGCTCTCTGAGCTGCAAGACCCTACAGCTCCTGCCCACAGCACAGCCAGCACCCTCTGCTGAGCAAGATGCAATCCCCCCATGTCCAGGGGCTGGGTCCCCAGCTTGTGAGTGTGCCCCAGTGGCCTGGGCTCCTGATGAGTGCTAAGGAACCTCCAAGTCCTGACTGCTTCTGGGTCTCATGGTCTCAACCCTGGTTCATTTGTTTGCCTGTTTGTTTTTATTGCAGTATAGCTGATATACAATTTTGTGTTAGTTTCTGGTGTAGAGCAAAGTGATTCAGTTATATATATATATATATATATATATATATATATACTTTTTCAGATTCTTTTCCATTATAGTTTATTACAAGATATTGAATATAGTTCCTTGTACTATACAGTAGGACCTTGTTGTTTATCTATTTTATCGATATATACAGTAGTATATATCTGCTAATCCTAAACTCCCAATTTATCCCTCCCCTGTCCTTCTCCCCTTTGGTAGCCATAAGTTTGTTTTCTATGTCTGTAAGTCTATTTCTCTTTTGTAAATGAGTTCATTTGGTATCATGAAGTTCGTTTGGTATCATGAGTTTGTTGGTATCATTTTTTTAGATTCCACATATAAGTGATATCATATGACATCTGTCTTTCTCTGTCCTACTTACTTCACTTAGCATGATAATCTCTAGGTCTGTCCATATTGCTGCAAATGGCATTATTTCATTCTTTTTTATGGCTGAGTAGTATTCCATCGTATATATGTACCACATCTTCTTTATCCATTCATCTGTTGATGGACACTTAGGTGCTTCCATATCTTGGCTATTGTAAATAGTGTTGCTATAAACATTGGGGTACATATATCTTTTTGAATTATAGTTTTATTCAGATATATGCCCAGGAGTGGGATTGCTAGATCATATGGCAACTCTAATTTTAGTCTTTTAAGAAACCTCCGTACTGTTTTCCATAGTGGCTGCACCAATTTACATTCCCACCAACAGTGTAGGAGGGTTCCCTTTTCTCCACACCCTCTCCAGCATTTGTTATTTGTAGACTTGTTGATGATGGCCATTCTGACTGGTGTGAGGTGGTACCTCATTGTAGTTTTGATTTGCATTTCTCTCATAATTAGCAATGTTGAGCATCTTTTTGTGTGCCTGTTGGGCAATCTGTGTGTCTTCTTTGGAGAAATGTCTATTTAGGTCTTCTGCCCATTTTTTGATTGGGTTGTTTGGTTTTTTTGTTATTGAGTTGTATGAGCTATTTGTATATTTTGGAAATTAAGCCCTTGTCGGTCACATTGTTTGCAAATATTTTCTCCCATTCCATAGTTAGTCTTTTCGTTTTATTTATGGTTTCCTTTGCTGTGAAAAAGCTTATAAGTTTGATTAGGTCCCATTTGTTTATTTTTGCTTTTATTTCTACTTGTGCCTTGGGAGATAAACCTAAGAAAACATTGCTACAATTTATGTCAGAGAATGTTTTGCCTATGTTTTCTTTTAGAAGTTTTATGGTGTCATGTCTTATATTTAAGTCTTTAAGTCATTTTGAGTTTATTTTTGTGAATGGTGTGAATGTTCTAACTTCACTGATTTACATGCGGCTGACCAGCTTTGGAGGGGAGCTTTTTAAAAATGCTGATGCTCTAGTCATACCCCAGGCATTTGGATTTAATTGGTCTTGCAACTGGGGGGCCATTTTGGTCAAAGTTTCCCAGGTGAGTCTAATGTGCAGACATTGATAGTGAAATCAAGGAGTATTTGTAAGCAGGTTGGCGTGGAAGAAAGAAAGAAATTGAACCACAGCCAGGGATAAACCACGGACACCAGGGCGTTATCATATTGAGGGGAAACACGGCAATCAGAGCAGGACGGGAGACACACCAAAGGCAGCTGCCCCTCTCTCTCGTCTGGCAGCTGTGGAAGGATTCTGGTTGTTTCTTCTCATCCTCAGTGGAAAAAGAATCGGTGACATGGATTTTTCTGTCCTGTTTTATCTGGACTGATCCCCTTGGCTCACTCAGCAGAGGCCTCAGAGAGGTGGGACCGCTTGTCTCCCATAAACTGCAACCAGCCTACATGCTTTGACTGTAGGGAAGGCTGCTCCAGCTGCCACCTGCCGCCCCCTCCCCAGATGGACAGAGTCTGTCCCCTCCCGTCCCATCCCACAGTCACTTAGCCTGCAGGTCTGACATGGGCATAGGAGCCAGACTCCAGGGGGTACCCAGGCCTGCCGGCCAGATGATGATTCCAGTGTTACAAGACCCCCTTCTCCCTCCTTCTAAACATCAAAGGCTTCACAAAACATAATTGTGTGGCTCTGGGGCAGAGACCTTTGGAAAGAGGTAGGAGGCTGTGCCTATCGAATTGAGTGGACCTTGAGTGGACTGAGAATGCTAAATTGATTGTTGGTGGGAGAAGCCAAGAACCATCCATCTTGAGGGGTAAAGGGGAGTAGAGAGAGAAACGCTCCCTGAGAGCTTGGGGGTGTTTTGAGATGGGACAATGAGAGACCTTGGAGCATCCACTCTACTCTCACAAGGTGGGTGGGAGCAGATGTGTGTGAGCCCAGGATTCTAAACGTTTGGTTATGCTTCTTGGATATATTGATAGAATCCCCTTAGATGTTTTTCAAGAGAAAACAGAAACAACTTAAATTGCTTTTCATTTATATTTGGATGTAGGGCCATTGTTACTTCTGAATGCAACACCTCATGAATGAAAGCTAAAGCTTAAACCGAGAGTCCCAAGTTTATTCTGGGACACAAATATCTGCCAGGTGCAGGTGA